TCTTAATAAGCCAAAGCAGTAGAGCTGTAACTTCTGCTGGCGTTTTTTTTTTTTTTTTGTATAAAATTTACAGTGCAATACAGAATGTTTCTACGTCTATTCAGTGTTTCTACTCGCTTTTCACAACCAATGCGGATTTCACAGTTTAGGCTGATGAATATGGCCTGCTGCACATGGAAAAATTTTCTGTCCGGTTTGGATGTTGCTCTACGTGCAGACTCCAATAACATGCCGCCATGTGCGCTATATTGCGAAGGTTATTTCGGGTTATTGAAGTAGAACCGCGGAGGCTATTTTGGAGTTATTTCGGCATTATTTCGGAGTTATTGAAGAGAAACCCATATATATTGAAGAGAAACCCAGAAACCCATATATTCTACTTCAATAATCCTGAAATAATCCAGAAATAACCTTCGCGGTTCCACTTCAAAACCCCAAATAACACCGCGAAAGTTATTTCGAGGTTATTAAAGGGGAATATATGAGTTTCTCTTCAAAAGTCCCGAAATAACTAATAATAACATCAAAATTACCTCCGCGGTGTTATTTTTGGGTTATTGAAGTGAAACCGCGAAGGTTATTTCAGGATTATTGTGGAGTCCGTAATTCCACTAATATTTTTTTTTAGGTGGGTCCGATTTAGCATACATAACAATATATTGCTGGGAGTCTACACGTGGAGCTAGTTCCGGAGCCCACACCACTTAATTCCAATGTATTTAGATATGTAACACCTGAACTTCAGTTTTTGCATGTATGTTACCTTGCCTATACCTGGAAAGGTGTTTTTCACCTTTTAAAAGTTAAAATAATGATATTTTTGATGTGATGTGAAAGATTTAGGTGGTGTAAATATAAAACGGCAAAATTTTGGTGTTAGATATGTAAATGCATAAGAGTTAGGTGGTATTTATGTAAATGCCCGTTTTAATATCATTAGGTCAATTCATTTTGTTATGCATAAATTTACATACCGATGCCGTATGCTGTTTTGTTGCACATGTTATTATTTAAATTGGAAATGACGCCTTATATGGCCTTGCAAGATGTTTGTGTAAGCCTAAAATGCACATCTTACAGTGCAAGTCTGAGTCATCTTTTTATGGCTTATTGGATTTGTTGTGATAGAATATCTAATTTACTAAATATATGAACAAAAAAATGACATGAGTGAAAATAAAGATTATACTATGATTGTTATAGACAATGTGTGACAAATGAGATATTCAAATATGGAAATCATTTAATAATGCTCATCATACGAGAGAGTTCATCAGAAAACAATATATGACAACCAAGGGTTGTAAAAGAGCCGAGCTTGAGTGAGCTCAGGCTTGGCTTGTGTTCGGCTCGTGCGAAATAGCTCGTGTTTGAAATCGACTCGTGTTCGAAATTGACTCGTGAACATTGTGTTCGTGTTTGGCTCAAAATTAGTTCGTTAAAATTAAATTGAAAAAAATAGATGTAAGGTGTTGGATTTGAATCTGGACCAAATGTATGTAAAAGAATACACTAACCACATTACCACAAAAGGTATTACTATTTAAACTTAGATATAAATATATATAATATATGTAATATAATATTATATAATAATTTTTTTTTTATTTCGAGCTAAAAAGAGCCGAACACGAGCAAACAAAGAGTTGTTTGTATTCGGCTCCTTTATTTTAGATTTCGAGCTTGAAAATTTGTTCGTGTTCGGCTCGTTATGCTTAACGAACGAGCCCAACACGAGCTACTTAACGAGCCGTACACGAGTTGTTCATGAACAACGAGCCAAATTGACAGCCATAACAACCAATGGTTAATGCATCAAAAAGCAAAAAAATTTCAATTGCATGCATGCTATATATATAGTCAATTTACTATGATTCTTTATGATCCTTACAATCATGAAATGTTGGTACCAAAAAAAAAATGTCCAAAAAAATTCTTATATAGTTGTCACTTTGTGAATTTGTCGGCCTGATTGGCCTACTTTCAAAATGATTTAATTGACAAGCTATGCGTCATGCACGAAATCATAAATTATATAAATTCATGCTAAAATAATGGTTGCATGTTGAAGAAATGTCATATAATCACATCATGATTTTTACAAGTAATAGATATTTCTAAGTGCTCACAATGAATTGTATAAAATTTATAAAAGTTTATGTAATAAGTAAAACGATAATGCTAACTATCACATCTTATCAATATGGTTGTATGAATTACTTAAATTAGCATATTCTCAACATAATATGAACAATTAAAAATATAACAAATTTATCATGTTTGTTTAAATATTATACTCTTTAATTTTATTTTTAAAAGCTGTGGAAGTTAATTAGACAAAGGCTCCTCATCCCAAAAAATTCTTCTCCTCTATCAGGCAGCGTAATCATTAAAGTTACTTCATCTACAGTGAATTTGAGCTCTTGCCCACTAAAATCGTAAACTTGTTTCTCAGTATTCAAGCATCCAAGGAACCACAATGTCAGTGGTACATCTTGGTACCCTAAACCCTATAAATTCTTCTTTGCTTAGCTTGAAGTTCCACATATTGGTCCTAATCTCTAGCACTTAGTAGGTGGGGTCAATACGGAGGAGCTCAAGGGGAGTCCCCCATAGGATGGTCAGACCCGAGGACTAACCCTGGGTGGTCTGATTTTGGTGGGGCTAACTTGCACACACTACACTTTTTCACTTACCCCAAACCTTAGGACCCCTTAGATTGGTCTCCTGACTCTTTTTAGAAAGCTCATATGGGTGACCTATACCCTTAGTCTTTGGCTGAGAGGGTTAGAACCAATATATTGAGCATCCAAAATGAGTCATCACATGGCTTATATTGGTTTGGTGCGATAACCTTAGAAAATGGTAAATATGTAGCCTCCTCATGATCACTGCAATATCATCAGTGACGACTAATTCATCACAAAGTGCTCTAAATGTTGATGATTTACACATGAAATTAACCCCCCTATTGGTCATTCTTTATCTAGCTATGCAAAATTCTGAGACAAAAATATTTAAATATTTCAATATATAATAAACATGTAAAAAAATAATAAGCATTGTGTAAAACATGATAACACTAAAAAAAACATAAGCATAACATGTTATATTAAACAAAAATCAAGGAAATAATCAATTCAATATGTTCAAAATGGTGTACAACACGGTTGTGCTGAAGACAAACTTGAGTATAACTATATTTCACTGAACAAAAATCTTAATGTGTTAAACATGATGAACAACATAGTCATATTGAAGAAAAAATTGAAAACAATCATATCGTACTAAACAAAAAGCATCCAAACAACCAATCTATCGGGTTCAATATGGAGTACAACATGATTGCACTGAAGAAAAACTTGAGTACAATCATGTTATATTGAGCAAAAATCATACAAATAACCAATCCAATGTGTTCAACATTGTGAATAACATGATTGTACTGAAGAAAATTTATTACATTAATAAAAGCCCCCAAATAACTAATATGATGTGCTCAACTTGTTATACAACATGATTGTATTGAAGTAACACTTCAGTATAATCATGTTGTACCGAATAAAAATCTTGAAGTAACAAATTCAAGGTGTTTAACTTATTGAAAAATTTGTGTATAACCATGTTGTACGAAGCGAAAAAATCTAAATAATCAATCTAATATGTTCAACATGGTTGTACGGACCAAAAAATTGAATATAACTCTATTGCACCGAGCAAAAAAAAATTCCAAAAAATCAATCTAATGTGTTCAACTTATTGTACGACATAGTTCTACTGAACAAAAATCATGAAAATAACCAATTCAATGTGTTCAATATGATGTACAACATGGTTGCACTCAAGAAAAACTTGAGTACAATCATATTATTATGAGAAAAAAATAACCCAAGTGGCAATCTAATGTGAAAATGATCTTGTACAACATAGTTGTACTGAAGAAAAACATCAACACAATCATGTTGTACGAACCAAACAAGCTTCCAAACAACAATTGGATTTTATTGACTTTAGAATAAGTAAAACTGATAAATAAGAAATCATAGCTATATCTCTAGAAGGTTTAACTTACCTGATAAGTAGGAAAAAATAATATTTTCTTTTCTGCGCTAAAACTGATTTCAAACCCTAAAATTTTTTTTTGGAAAATCAATTAAAATATTTATGTGCAATGGAATTCATATGATTAAACTACCATGTGAATGTATCTTTTCCAAGAAGAAGATAAATTTTTTGCTCGTTACGAGAAAACCAGTTTATAACCCTAAAATTTAAGGCGTTTGATGAATTAAAAAAGAGTAGCCGAAATGCATGGATTGGGATCTCACAGTGAGGATTTCGAAACACCAATGAAGATTATGAAAATCCAGACGATTTGCAACCCTTAACTGAATATCAACGATGAGACCCTAAACCCTAAACCCTAAAAAATGCAATAGAGAAGATCGAAGTACCACAAAAGATTTTAAAGCACTCAACATACTTCCACATATCATGTTACATATTCGACCAATGTCAAATGCCCAAATAAAAGGCCCATGTACACAACAAGGAAACAAAACAGTTAGCCCCGATAGCCATTGCCATTTTTTTATTTTAGCACTGCACAATAAAATATTAAATATTTGACCAAAACTTAAAATATTGAAAAAATATACCTCTCCTTCAATTAATGAGCCGCAGGTCATTTCTCCTCCTTTTTCTCCTCTGTTTCCGTTTCTTTCTCCGCAAACTTCACCTTCCTCCTCTTTCTCCACCCTCTCTGTTTCTTCCTCCACAATCTACATACTCTCCTGCAGCGACTCTTTTTCTCTCCACCACTGTCTCGCTTTCCTCCTCTTTCTCTGTACTATTGTTTGTCTCTGCTTCAAATTCAATCGTCTCTCCAGTTGCAGAAGCACACATGCTCCATACTTTGAATGCAAACCTTCTGTTTGACCAAATGCCATATCTTCAAAGCCAAAGTACCAAATTTGCCCCACAGTCCTTTCCTTAACAATCTTCTTCACCAGGGTTCCTGAAAGATAAAATAAGAGATAGCTACCGAAACTCCGAAGCAGTGGCTGGAGCAAGGGAGCTTGGCCTCATGAGGAAGGAGAGTCTCTGCTGCTTCATACTG